TATTAAATTGTTTTAATATTTTAGTTGTCATTTTTAGTTTTGCAACCATTTTTGTTACAATGTGAAGCTATTGCTGAGTTTACTTAATTGTATTTTATTGACTATATATGTTCTAAAATTCTAGTGCTCAAGGTTCTTCCCATTTCTCCCACATAAGTATGACACTGACTACAATTACAATTGAATGCTTAAACAGTTTGTTGATGATTTTTATTTGTTAATAATTTTTATTTGTTAATAGAATTGTTTAAGATAATAATTTTTATTTTATAATTTATAAACTGATTGTGGGTATTTATATATGGCTGAAGAGGGTCTTATGAACCAAAATGCATACCAGAAATAGTTTTATTCTAACTATCGAAGTGTCATTTTGATGAAACAGTGTGATAAGTTTCTGACATCTCCATTAATAGTGTAATGAGATACCTTTTTAGTGAAAAGAAGTATATTTTTGTTAGAAAATTTGCTGTTTAAATTAAAGTATTTCGTGATTTGATTATTTCTCATAATGAAGTGTAATGTAAAAAAGCCGTGTCATTTATGCCTGTTTAATTCTCTTTCTATTTGTCAAGACATTTTTCAGGTCTTTGCCCCTCTTCTGTTGGCTACAAGAGATCTAATGATTTACAATGTAACATTTAAAATAACAGTTTATTAACAAAGAATACACCTTTTCCCATTAAGGTGTTATACATTTAGTTTTTCAAAAAGTATAATAGTATGGCCTTTAACTTTAAAACACTAAAATACATATAAAACTTGGTTCTCATTTTTCAGCTCAACTAGCTGTCAGCATCTTATTCTTGAACCCAATCTCAAACTTTATAATCTCAAATTTATCATATTTATTAAAAAATTTAAAAAACTAAAAAATTTTATTTTCGATGCCTATGAAATATTTTAGATTAATTCTACAGGTTTTAGGCAGTAATTTCTCTGTGCTGAATATACACAAAACAAAATTTCAATATTTTTACATTTAGTCATGATTTTTGAGTTACATATATATTTTATTAATTTATTGATGGAAGAAAAGAGGCAAAAAATATATATGCAGTAGAATTTACTGAAGAGAGAAGAGTAAAGTGGACCAAGTTGCCACACCCAATTGGGATTTATGTGAAGATGTTAGAGAGCACACAGCAGGTTCTGTTGACAGAAATGGAAAATACACTTAGTTGCTTTTGGTNTATCATTGCTGCACACTAAACATGGTTACTCCGGACATGCACATTTGCTTGAATCGGTTTGTCCGCTCCTGCTTGGAAGCGCGTTCATGCCTGCATTGATGCAATTATTACATGTATCCTTATTTTTAAAATTTTATATTATTTGTAGCCAGTTTTAATTTATTTTGACACTAAGATTTTTATTAATAATAATCTTACTTTTGAGGATTTCTATTCTTTCTTTAAATTTTCTATTATATGTATTTTTTTTCCTTTGTAAAATTTTAACATAGTAGTCTGGCATCTATTTGGCTTACTACTGCTCTTTATCTAGATACAGCAGACTACTGCCTTCTTGATATATGCACAGGAGGAGGAAGTTAACCTGATTTACAATGTGCGACATTAATTAGAGCACCAGCAAACTTGGACCAACTCAAAGTACTAGAGGCACCTGAGATTTTTAAAGCAGAGAAGCATGGATAATGTATAAACTTTAAGGAGGAGAGGTGCATTTCACAAATGTGGCAAGCCTGCTTTGATATGGCATTATGAAAAAGGTTTTAGAACTTTTACACTTGGATGCATCCTATTAGTTGATTCTAGAAGATTTTAAATTTGAATTGGTTTTAATTTAATTGTTGGCATTAGTTTGACTTTAATATCAGAAAAACTCTCTAGTACTTTCAATTAATACAATGCTGAAGCATTGTAATAATGCTGTTTTCAGGCTCTTCAGATAAAATATAAAACATACATGGATACAAAAATTTCTATTCTGTTCTGGAATAGCATTCAAAATAAACTTTTTATCTATGTTTGATCTGACTAACTTGAATACAACATTAATGTTGAAAATACTAGGGAGATTTTTTTCTGGTATTTAAATCAAATTAACTATGAGAGAGAGTTTTTTTTTCTTATACAGAGTAATTAATTGCTTCTTTCAATTTGCATGACCACATTTCCCACCATATTAATCTAGGCAATTTTTGGTTATAAGGTTATCTGAAGGCTAAAGTGTACCATGAAGGTGTTTCAAACTTGGCATCATTAAAAGGTTCTGTAGCATGGTTTGTGATGAATATTCCTGAAGACATAGTGTTCTGTTATTAAGAATGCTGTGTGAGAGATGAAATGCCTAGTCCATGAGGATGATAGCTTATTGAACCAGGTCTTATTGTGAATAGTTGAATACAATGTGCTTGACTTGGGCAACAGATTTGTAGAGCATAAGTTGCATTATCAGATATGTTTGGAATGACTGTTTGACTATTGATATTAACTGTTTTCCAGCTGTATTATTAGTGAAATGCAATAAAGACAATCATTCATTACAGTTTAGTGTTGTTGTTGTTTGTGTTTTTCTCTATTTTAATACTGTTTTTATATTGTTTAATGCTATAGGGAAAATATAACTTAAGTTTTTGTGCACAAAAACTACTTCCCATGTTTTAATTAGTCTAGCTACCAAATTTGGCAATGTTCTTCTCATTAGATTGAACTGCAGATGTCTCTGAACAAGGAGTTTAATTATGAAACCTTGTATACTAAGGGTACGTCCTACATGGCAGCATCCAGCAACTGCAAGTGGAGAAAATCTTTGTACACACTTCCAACTTGTGAGCGACTTCTGTCCAAAGTGGATGCATTGTTTACAAAATGGCAGCAGGATGTCTTTGTCAAATGCTTGCTATGGAAAATATGACAAGCATTAAAACAGTAAATTTGACAGCTAATTGTTATCACTAACTAGATACACAACAAATATAAAGAATCTTCATAGAATAAAAACCGTACGTTTCTATATTCAACAGTTGACTCAACGGTGAGAGAACAACGTTTCTAAATGGACCGTTGAGTTCTCCGTTGAGACTAGTGACGTCAGCGCTGTTTCACCGTTGAGCTCAACGGTCTCAACGACCTGAAAGACCGTTGAGTAGTCAACAAACTAACATGGCGGCTTCCACGAAAAAGTAAATTTCGCTTATAGAAACTATCCATTCGCTGCTGTGGATGCTGTAATAGCGAACAGATTAATGAACAATCTGTATATGATAAAACACGTGATTGCACGATTATGTTGGATAATTTGGTCAATATTGAAATATAAAGATTTTTTCATTTGTCCAAAATTGATTACGACTGATATTTGGCCCGCTAAGTCTTCCTAATGATATAAATATTCAAGAAATTAATTAAAATTATTAATTAAAAAAAGACCCAGTATACAAAAAAATGATACAGATATGAATAAAAGGAATTTCAAAGTTCATTTGAATAAAAGGATTTATTCGAATAATGGTTAAGCGAGTTACTTTAATTATTTAGCAAAACAGTCACAATCGCCACCTTCTCGTTACTTAAGTCAGCCATCTTGAAAAGCGACCTCTCAACGAAAGCGTTTCTTTTTTCTGCAAAACGTGACGTCAGATCGTTCAACGGAGGGACTCAACGGAAAATTCACTGTTGAGTCAACCGTTGAATATAGAAACGTATGGAAAGTTAAAGAAAGTTTTATTTTTAAAATGTTACATTTACAAAATCGGAAATTATTAAATTACATAAAAGATTATTAATTAAAGTACATACAACATATATACACAATTTATTTGTCATTCTGTTTTCATTCATCTACAAAATCAGGCATTTTCTTCTTTGGAAGCATGATCAGTGGAAGCAGCAATCAAACTTGCTTGGTAGCTGCTTTCTGTACACATGGGTAGAAGTATCATTGCTGCACACTAAACATGGTTACTCCGGACATGCACATTTGCTTGAATCGGTTTGTCCGCTCCTGCTTGGAAGCGCGTTCATGCCTGCAGTTGCTGGACGCTGCCACGTAGGATTTAGCCTAAAAATATTGCATAAATATTATTAATAGTTAAATATTTTCTTTTCAGCTTTTAAAATGCTCTTACAATTTAAAACATTAATAATAATACTTATAGTATTCTATTATTGTATTTTTGTGAATATTTACAAAAATATAGAGTTGCTAATCAAGTACTATTTTATTAAAATACACCTCTCTGTAAGCTAAAACAAATTTAGCTAAAACAACACCTTAAATACTTTTTCAGCACGACTAATTTATTTAAATGAATGTTTTCGACTTCTTTTCATAAGTCTGTGTCAGGTTTAACCAGAAGATTCCAATTAGATAAAGAATAATAAAAAAACAAGGCTGGTGTTATTTACATTTAATAAATACACAAAAAATAATATAAAAGAAATAATTTTTTTTGCCATTCGCACCATCAGCAATCCATAAAAAATTCACAAATTATGGATTGCTGATGGTGCAAACGGAAAAAAAAGACGGAAGGTTTTACCTTTTGTAAAAAGTCGTATTTATATTTTTTATATTTATTAGAAGATTCCAACTTTAAGTTCTTTGTAACATTTTTTAAAAAACAAATTGAAATAATGTCAGAACTTAGTTTGAATCTTCCTGTTAAACCTAACACACTAACAGAAACTTATGAAAAGAAATCAAAAAACATTCATTTAAATAAATTAAAGTTGTGCTGAAAAGGTATTTAAGGTGGTGTTTAAGTTTATACTATTTTACTACTGTGTTGGGCAAAATATTGTTAATTTGCTGCCCATGTTACAGCTGACTTTATTGAATTTTACAAATTTAATTTGTGTAAGTGTTTACAATTAAAATAAAAGATATAAAATATCTGAATCAATTTAAAACATTTCCTAATCATTGAACCAACATTAGACATAAATATAAATTTTTATATTATAGAAATCATTTTAGAAATAATATTACAGATATCAATTTTACTATTTATTAATCTGTAAAGCTTTTTTCAGTTATATGAATTCATTGAAAATATGACACCAGAAGATAAAGTGATAGTTTTTGTTGATAAGAAAGCAGTGTAAGTATTATGGTATTTTTCAGAATTTTATTTAAAACTTTTAAAGATTATATAATAATTATGTTTACATTATATAACTTATATTATTTGTGTAATAAAAATTTGATTATATGAAAGGAAATAAGTCGAGAGACGTAAGAAAAGGATGTAAATTAATTTATACAATTTTTTTTTTATCTGATACTAAGAAAATTTTATAATGTACAAACTTATGTCCCTGAAGTTGATTTAGACTTATCAAGTAAAATAGTTTTAGGAGAAATTTGATGCATTAGAAAATTTGAGAAATTGATAGCTGGAGGTGACTTTAATAAGCATGTAAGAAAGGATAGGAGAAGTTATCAAGATATCAATGAACAGGAATATTTCTGTATGAATGACTTCATGACAAGAGATATAACACAGAGAGAGCATTCACATTAGAAGTTACAATAGCATGTAATATTTATTTACTATTTTTATAGGAGGATGAGCCACTTGATTACATTTAAGAATAGCAAAGGAAAATCAATAAGAAATTTATTCCTAGTTACAAGAAAGGAACTAAAGTAATATAGAAATTGTAAAATAATCTCAAATAAGAATCTAGATAGTTAATAGAGACCTTTAATTATGAATATAGAAAGTATGTTAGATAAAAAAACAAAAGGAAGATAGATGGAGATGAAAAGATAGTCAAATAGTTGAATTGAAAGAGGTGATGAATTAAGAATAAACCTAGAGACAAGGTAAATGTGGATAAGTATAGAAGGTAAAATTAGAGAAATAAGAGTTTTAGGAACTACTAGAATACAGTAGGTGATATGATAATTGATAAAAAGACTTTGTAGTAGAATAGAGAGGCACAAGTAGCAGTTAAAAAGGAAGCAGAAATGGTTAGTGAAAATATGAAAGGTTAAGAATGAAGGAAGATGATAGTCAAAATATGTAATATAGAGAGACAGCTTTAAAGGAGTTTCATTTAACTCCTTGGTCCAGGACGTTTTTGGCCAGTTCTGTAGTATACCTATTATTTCATGTCTTCCTGATGATCCTGGATACGTCTACAGCATTCTAGTAGTAGCTAAAATATAATTGATTGTCACTCCGAGAGAGTGTTGTAAATAGTATAGTGATTTCTCCAGCAAGTCAACATTCCATGAGCATGCAGCTGGAACTTTTTTAAGTTACCTGTTGTGTTATTGTTCTGTTCAAACATGAAAAATCTTGTTTGATTTGATTCAAATTGAATCAGCCTGATGAGGATAGTTGTAAGCTATTGAAAGTACTTGCAATTTTGAATAAAAAATTATTTTTAATGTTGTAAGACATTAATTACATTGCATCATAGCTATTTTTGCATGAAGTGTAGTTAATTTTGTTAAGTTTGTAATTCAGGCATAAATTTGTTGCTGATGGTAATTGATGATACTGTTCATGTATTTAAGAATTTTATTATGATTCACATAGTTAAAATTTTAATTATTTGTATTTCTTTAGTGCTGATGATTTGTCAAGTGATCTTTTGTTGAATGGAGTTGATTGTCAGTCAATTCATGGTGACAGGTTAGTGTTTTTTTTAATATATAGAATTTTATATTCTAATTTTTGTACTCACAACAGAACAGTTGGAGTATCTTTTAATAAATATTAATAAAATTTAGTTAATATTACATTAAAAGTATACAAACTCTATATTAAATTTGTAATATTCACTAAACTATTAATCAGGGTTAATAGCAATCAAATGTCATACTATTTTATATTAGTTTAACACAAATGTGCAAGTTTTTAGTAGTGAAAGGGTCACGGAGGAAGACAACAATATTACATTATTACTCATTGGACAAATATTAATATTTATAATACAGTATTGCAAACATCTATAAATCAAAATTCATGTGAAGTACTAATTATTCCACCAAAGTGTACGTGTATATGCCAACCTTTAGATGTAGGATTTCATAGACAAGTAAAACTTTAAACTAAAGAAATTTTAAATGCTATACAATTATTTTGTAAAGATTCTTCAATGAAATTGTTTTGGCAACTAGAAATGGCATGATAAAATTACATTCAATTCTTCTTCAGTTATCTGTGCCAATATTTAATAATTTGATTAAATATGCATGGTTTGCTTCTGGACTCGTACATGAAAAATGCGAATTTTTAAATGTAAAACAAATTTGTTTTTCTTTTATAAACACTGACAATTTAAATTGTATTGAGAATAATTGCCAAAATCTTTGATTTGTTAAGTGTGCATGATGTCAACAAGTTTTGTTTATAAACAACAACTTTCCAGCAAACCGGAACTGTACATATAGAATAGAAAATCACACCTAAATGCAAAATTTCCAGCAAAGAAATGCTTAACTTCAATGTTTGAATGTTTTCGGCCACTATTTTACCAGCAGTCTTCAGGAAATGTAAAACAGAAAAATCCTTCTATAAATAGAATATAGTTGCCTTCTAATTTTGAAGTTTCAAATAAGTTTGAATAAAGGCTGTGACATTTTGTATATGACATATATTTTGGGTCTAAATAGTATTTCCATGCATTTGGTACATGAATGGCATCCGTGTTGACGCAAGCTCCACTCCTGTCCACCCTGTAGATCTCTACTGCTTCTAATATTTTGCTGGTCGAAGATCTTCTGTATTAGCATAGCTTGGTCCCAACGGGGAAATNTATTTTGGGTCTAAATAGTATTTCCATGCATTTGGTACATGAATGGCATCCGTGTTGACGCAAGCTCCACTCCTGTCCACCCTGTAGATCTCTACTGCTTCTAATATTTTGCTGGTCGAAGATCTTCTGTATTAGCATAGCTTGGTCCCAACGGGGAAATCCTCGGATCGCTGGCATATCCGGGGATTTCTCTGTTGGGACCAAGCTACACTAAGGTACCAGCAAGGAACTAGAGCATCTGAAACAAGTTGTGTCAAGTGAGTGGCTGTACATAACCATTGTAATAAATCAGAAACATGACCAATGATATTTTTTCCACTATCAAGTCTCATCTCCAAAATTTGGTATTCTTTCTTTTATAATGTTATTTACATAAAACAAATGTACAGTTTATTACTATTCCTTAACTTTAAAAGCTCTGTCTAATAAAATTTATATAAATTGTAATTTTTAAATTTTTTATAAAATTATAAAAGGTTTATAATTGAATTGATGAATTTTTTTTTTTATAGAGATCAGAGTGATCGTGAACAGGCTCTTGAAGATTTGAGAACTGGTATAGCTCGCATTTTGATTGCAACTGATGTTGCATCTCGTGGTTTAGATATAAAAGATATTACGTGAGTATAATTTACTAAATATTAATATTACACACCTTCCAACTTTTATGAATTTTTCTTAGCTTGTTTGGAAGGTGCATTTAAACTATACAGTTATAGCAAATTTTGACCAAACATCAAATTTTCCAATTTTCATATGTTTAAAGCAATCTACCATAGAACATGTCCCACTTTACAATATTATTAATTAACCCTGCATCAGGTGTGGCAGGAGTAGAATGTAGAAATTAGAACAACAGTGTAGAAATTACTGTCTAGATGCTATGATATTTTACACTGCTATAAGTGAAATAATACTCAAGTCAACAAAAATAGAAATTTGTTTGTCTTCTGTTGGATTTAAACATTCAGTTGGAGAGTTATTTGTTGACAATGGAAACCTGACTGACTGACTAATCACCAATCTCAATTTCAATGAAATTTTGTGAGCCTGTTGTATTCATTCATATTACACTGTACACTGTGCCAATATCTCATAATGACCCACTATTTGTATATTAACATCAAAAGTGCTCAGCAAAAATTATACACAGAAATTAAAACACCTTAATTTGTTGCCGAGAAATATATTTCAAAACAAACGTTTTCAACCTGATTAACAGGCCATCCTCAGGTAAACGAAAATGGAACAGATACATTCCATGTATAGAATATAAATATTTAAATCAAAATTTAGAACAAAAAATTTTAAAAATATACAAGAGAATATATAAAAATAACACAAAATAAAATTAAAATATATAAGAGAATATATAAAAATAACACAAAATAAACTAAAAAATGAAAAATATATAATAAATATAATAAATCTTCCAATAAACTAATTCTAGCTTGAGTTTTCAGTGAACTTTTTAATCATGTATTTCCACGCCAACGACAGGCTCTCAGCATCTCTCGCATTTAAACATCATGTGAGATGTTTAAATGCGAGAGATGCTGAGAGCCTGTCGTTGGCGTGGAAATACATGATTAAAAAGTTCACTGAAAACTCAAGCTAGAATTAGTTTATTGGAAGATTTATTATATTTATTATATATTTTTCATTTTTTAGTTTATTTTGTGTTATTTTTATATATTCTCTTGTATATTTTTAAAAATTTTTGTTCTAAATTTTGATTTAAATATTTATATTCTATACATGGAACGTATCTGTTCCATTTTCGTTTACCTGAGGATGGCCTGTTAATCAGGTTGAAAACGTTTGTTTTGAAATATATTTCTTGGCAACAAATTAAGGTGTTTTAATTTCTGTGTATTTGTATATTATTGAAAAAATAACACTAAATATTTTTTATTACTATACTGTTATGGAAGAGAGAGGTGTTTAAGTTAGTAGTGATCTAGTTAAATCATCATGTGAACTGCTTGAGATACCAGATAGATTTGATTCCAGATAAAATTTGTGTGTGTGTGTATATATATATTTATATAATTTATATATATAAATTTTATCTGGAATCAAATACATACCATATACATACATTAACATAACAAGAGAGACTAGTGTGTGCAACTGATTTTGAACTAGAGATTGTATTTTAACAGCATCCTCAAGATTGGCTATTATCCTATTGCTTTTAAGATGATATGTACAATTTTGTAACTTTTTGATAAAATTTTTAACCTGTCTGTAAAAATAAACAACACATTGACTGACATGGGAGTACATTTTAGGAAATAATTTTTAATTGACGTGATGAAAAATCGTATTCATCTGTAAAAATTTTATAGTACATTTGTGAATTTGACTACTACATGAATCTATTATTAATAAAAACATTTTATTTTTGACATATGGTTGAAATATTTAAACAAAATCAATCCTAAAACAATCATTTTATGATTTTATTTACAATGATTTAAATAAATTCTTATTTTGGCACATTTGAGTTGCTTATTTGTCAAATCAATTAACTCCACAAAACAAAAAGTAGATAAATGATGAAATAAGATATATTCTTTTTTAAAACTTTTTTAAAATTTAAGTAAACCTTGTAGAATTTATTGTTAAGTTGTATCTTTTATCTAACAACATATAAAATAGTAAAGTTAATAACAATTATTCCAGGAATATACTATATTTTTACATTTTCACATAACTAATAGGGTTAGTTGATTTGGCCTGTGAATGGCTCATTTATTAAGCTTTTTGTAAAATACTTTTAAAAATAAATGCCACCTATAAATAATATAAATATTGCTAGATATTGATTATATATTATATAATATAAGAATACACATAAAATTAAATAATACAGAATATGATTGAAATGTGTGTACTTTCTGAAAAAAAAATGAGGAGGTTAACAAATTTGGAATAAAACAGAATTTGATGTGTGTATTTTCTGAATTTAGAATTGCAATTAATTAACATCAAGTAATTATAAAATTATATTTATAGAATAATCTTATATCTCAATTTTATTGTTCTATAAATTAGATTTTTTATGCTAAACTTAATATAGCATAGAGCAGGTTTTTACATTGAATCTTTTATACTCTATGAAAGAAAATTGTACAGTAATAGTAAGAAATATTTTTGGAAATACAGTATAATTTAATCCTGTCTAAGAGGAATCCAAAGAAAAAAGAAGTTTCATTATTGAAAAATTCTCTTTTTCTGCTGTTTATTTAATTTCATAGCAAGTCTTTTAGATAGATTATTAAATTTATTTAAATCATATTAATATTACTCAGAAATTAAGTAAAATATATACTGTATAATAACTAAAAATAAATTTATTAACATAAAAATATTGTAATTTTTAATTTAAATGATGATTGTAATTTTTTATATTATTTTTATTATTAAAATGAAGAATTTTCAATGCATATCAGGCTGGCTATAATTTCAACATAACTATGCACAATTAATCTTTTAGTTGCAGTATAATTAGTTGTTGTATAGTTACATCTAAATATGATGATGATAGTAATAAATTGAAAAATCACAACCATAAATCAAGCTACTAAAATAACTAAATCAAAACTTTATATTTTTAATTTTTTAAATATTGTAAAAATTAAAATTTTAAATCTACAATATAAATATATTTTTGTATAAAAGAAATATATGTATATATAAAATTAAATATGCAAAATATTTTTTAGGCATATTTTTAATTATGATTTCCCAAGAAATATTGAAGAATATGTTCACAGAGTTGGAAGAACTGGAAGAGCAGGGTATGTATTTATTTATGTAAGAAATAATACTTATTATTAAAAGTTGTAAAAAAATTGTTTATAAATTTTATATGTGGGAGGGGATCCAAAAAAAAATTGTGTATTTATTTTTACATGTTCAAACTTTTGTGAGGTTGCCAAATTTAAAGGATAAACAAATGTCATGATTTATTGGATGTGGGGTGAATGGAAGTGAGGGAGACACCTGCAGTTACAAATAAACCCATTTATTAATTAAGTCTTACATCAAGTGGAGTGACTTTTCAACAATTGGTGCTGGTCTGTTGGAGTGTGTATGGCCCTGGGGTGATCGGTCGAGACGATTTTTTAAGGAGTTGTATGTTGGGAAGTCCGGAAGTGTTGAAAAACAGTCCAATGCGGAACGATGAAGATAAGGATGAAAGTCCCTAATCTCTTGCTTTCCAATTGGTCAGTTTCTTGTATCCAGGTAGATAAAGACCATTTTCAGCCAGAAAGGGTCAAATTCGACACTGTATCTTTGTTTGATCGAGGGAATTTAATCAAACTCGTGCTCATATTTATTTATTGTTTACTACTGATTCTTGTAAGTCTGAAAAACAATCTCTGCACTAGATCTCCTTTTTAAAGTTTTTTTCTCTCTCTCAACTAAAAATTTTTATTCTTTCCTGTTTTTCTTCAACTTTTTATGAGCATTAGAATCAAAGCTTGATCCCAATTTGACACTTTTATTCAATTTTTACACGTGAGCTCAAGTATTGCTCAGGCCTCACACTTTAGTCAGCTTCAAAGTACTCTGCAATGCACTTATCAAGACTTTTTTCCCACTGTTATAAACAATTTCTGAATTTATCAACTTTGATGTCATTTAATGCTTCTGCAGTTTTTTGTTTCACCTCTTTCACAACAGAGAATTTTTTTCTTCTCCCTGGATGAAAAATCCTCAAACAGTTGCACAGGAGTTGAACAGGGAAGGTGAAGCATGTTTTTGGCCAAAAATTGTTGAACACAGTTTGGTATAGGCAGGAATGTTATGGTGGAAAACCCAGTCACCTGTTTAAAATGCTGCTTCTGCTGATCTTGACACAATCTTCTCAACTTCCAGATAAAAAAAACTCTGGTTAATGATTTGACCTGGAGGAACAAATTCTAAAGGCACAATATCGATCACGTCAGCCATTACGAAATAGCATAATGCATTGAAAAAAATTTCAGTTCACTGCTGCAAAACAGTCTCTCTCAACAATGCCATTTGATAAACTGATGCATATGGATTTATTGAATATTCACCTAGTACATGAAACTTCTACTAGAAGTCTGCCATCCAGAAGAGAATTTTGGTTTTTTTTTTTTTTTTGGTCCCCTTACTTATGTGGGGGCCGAGGGGGGAAGAAATTACAAAGAAACTCTCGACGAACGATAATAGGCGATACGTATTGTCATCGTCTCCCTTGCCATTTGGATTGCCGAGCGGTAACAATCAACGACATATGGAAGCAGTTGAGTCAGAGATAGATGCCTCATTTACAAACAACACAACCGTTTATTAAACACGAAAGAAGCTTACAAGATGTCCGCGATCTTGGAAGTTCTGCGGCGGTTGCGGCCTCTGGGTCTTCCTCTCCTTTCCAAGACAGTCCCATTTTGAAGGAGTGTCCCTTGTTCGCGAAGGAACCATTCCATCACGTCTCGACGACTCCAGGACGATGTGGTCGACTTCCGTTGATGGAAAGTTGTCGATCCGAGGTCGGGAGATGGAGACGAAGATGGGTGCGAGACACACACACAACAACAGATCTGTCACTTGGAACTTTCGGGAGAAGAAGCCGTCGCGTCCTCGAATTTCCGGGGTTTTATCTGTTTTCTCTCAGATTCCCCTTTCCGATTGGTCTCCCGTCGTCACCTGATGACAATTCGAAACCTTTCGGGGGCGCGGGAGAGGTCAAAATCGAAGTTTAATTCGATCTCCAACTGGAAATGGTCGACGGACTTACATTCTTCTATTGTTTGAAAGTCTTCTATTGTCTAGTGTCGCGTTTTCATAAAATAAAAAGCTATTTCTAACTACTATATTTTTTTCTCTAAAACAATTACTTTAACGCGAATTTTAGTGAGGGTTCGGACCTGTCCAGAGCCTCACAGAGCTCCCTGCCATTTTAAAATGTCGTAACGGAATAATGACATTTTAGCTGGCAGCTCTGGAAGCTGTCAGTCCCTTCTCCCTTTGTTTGCCAAGTGAGGTAACAGTGACACTTGCCTGAGAATCTATTTTTCTCTGGTGCACGTTCGGTTTCGCGTTACAAAGTTCTTTTTTTCGATACATTATTTCAGAGGTATAGAAATCGTTTACAATTCATTGAAATGTTCGTGTAACATCACATGTCTGTTTATAAGATTGATTACAAACACTCAAATAACAATCACGGTCATCGAATAACATTTTAACAACTTAAAAGCTCGACAAATATTTTCTAAAACTTTTTTTTCTCATTTTTAGACTGAGCAATTCACATAATTTGTAAATAATTTCACAAAATTTTATTAAAGCCTAAAAGAGGGACAACCTTCTATCTGTCACACTTAGAAAATGTATGTAAAAGTTTCCTTAGGTGCCGTCACTTCCGGTACACGGAGTGTTGCCCTAACTTCGAGTTTCGTACTTTTGTTGCTGGTTCTATCTCCTTGTTCAAAATTCCAGGCAAAATTTGACGAAGTATTTTTCCGATTATTTGAATCAACTCGATATCTGAATGTCGGTTCTTCGAACAAGTAACAACTTTGTCATCTTTTGGATGCAGTCAGTCGCAAATCAAGGTCACTGTTCTAAGTCTACGATTCCCAGAATCGATTGGTTGATTGAAAATTAATTCGGAAGTGATTTCGGACTGTTATCAATTGACAGTTTTCTGTCATTGGTTTTCTTCCAAAGCAGATTACCGCAAATCAAGGTCCTTATTCAACTTCATGTTCCGTTTTACTTCCATTCTATACTCCGTTTTACAATGGTGCATTTAAGCCAGTTTTTGGTTGTGATTGATATCAATACTTTTTCATATAAATTTTGGAATCATGGAAATTTTTCTAAAATTTGAACCATAGGAATTACTCTTATCTTTAACCAATGTTTGTCACAGGAAAACTCGATCGCGACAATTCTGTTTTTCTTTCAAAACGCGAGTTTCTTACCATAACAAAATAACTGTTTCAATAATACAAGTACAAGCAATATTCTGTAATGAATTACAATCAAAATTTTTGTTTAAACACAATCGAATCACATGTTTCTTCATGGTGATCGTATCATGTCGGAACTTTTTCTGGGAAATACCATTGACAAATTTCAATTCGCGACCAACATATATCCTGTCGATTAATGCAGGTTTAAACCAAATTACATATTTACTTCTAAACAAAATTTTCACCGAAGAACACATTGTTGAGTCATTATTATCGGATTGTATCATCCGTAATCTACAGTCAAGTAACATTGACATTATCAATTCACGACAAATAATTTGTATTGCTTTTCTTATTTCAAAACATTTTCATTTAAGCTGACGTCTGTCCTCTTTAACAAAAGAGAGAGAGCTCTCCTTTTACAGTTTATACTTTGTTTGATCCGAGTCGGCAGCAATAATCTGTTTCGACCTTTGGTTGGGGAAATGACTTAGTTACGTCGTAAACAGTGTCATCTTAGGTTTTGTCTTCCAAAGGAAACCTTATGCTGCTACTCTTTGGACTTTATGATTTTTTTTTTTTATTCTAACTTTCCTCTTTTTTTCACTCGCATGCAATTATATACCTCTTATTATTTAAAAGATCGCGTTTCGTCGCGCTGCATTATTCTTACTATTTAAAGTCGTTTGCGTTTTCCTTTTTCTGATAATCTCACCAAAGGGTGCAAAAATTTCGCTCCTACCATCACCAAAAAGCCAGTGATTTCATGCGGATTATTTGGGTTTTAATGCGCGTTTCTATTTTCCTATTTTCACAAAATATTACATCTACTTTATAATTTCTTCTCGCTATTTCCACAAAGTTCTATTAATTTCTTCTAATTAAAATATTCGTTCGCTCGCTTTTAAAACGGATCAGACTCACAGAAGAGTGCAAAGAAGTGATTCTCTGCTTCCTCATATTGATACTCATAAGCAAGTGTTTCGCGTCGATTATAATTTTTTTTTTTTCTACATCGCATAATCCTTTTTCTGGATCTACAGAATTTATTCTATATTTCTATTAGTCCGTCTATTTTTTCGGATTATTCAATATATTTTCTAAAATTATCTATTAATTTTTTTTCTCAAATTCTTATATAATTCTACTTATTCTAATTTTTGCAAATTCGCATATATATTTTTCTATAAACTATTCTATTCGTATAAGTTTACATGTATCTCTACTATTTCGCAAGAGATCGCATTGGCAGAACAATTGTTTGCTTGGCTTAATTGTCAAAACAAAACTGAGAACTCGATTAGATAATTGATTATCCTAATCTGCCATTTTCCTGCCGCAAATTAAAACTACGCGTGTAAATTTTTTTTTCTACGCCTATGCTTCTATTCTGTTTATTTTATCTCTCTAAATCTATGTTTCTAAATCTATATCGAAATCTAAATTGCTCATCGGTCGTTTGCGTCCGCGACGTTCGATGATCTAATTCTAACGCGTTTGATCAGCAGCACGCCCAATCTCCTAGGGAAATTGTCAATTTCTCTAAAGGTCAAAGAACACGAGTGGGCTGCCACTTAAATTACATAATCACGCCAAAGCATCAGTCTCTGTATTCATCGTTCGTGCTCCCTGAGCTCCGAAAATGAATTTTGGCCTCGGCTTCCTCACCAAGTAGGGAGTGCGGATGATGAGGTATGGGGCAACCTCATCTTCCTCAAAATATATACCACTCCTGACACCAATGTGGGGGCCGAGGGGGGAAGAAATTAAAAAGAAACTCTCGACGAACGATAATAGGCGATACGTATCGTCATCGTCTCCCTTGCTGTTTGGATTGCCAAGCG